CGCCACGAGTGCGATGTGCTGCGGGGGACATTGGCCGGGCGAGCTCCAATCAAGCCTGTGTAAAAAAGGCGCGCCGCTTCAACAGCTTGGGGCTTGTTCGGTTTTTGGTGACGGGAAAAACGCAAGAACAGCCGGAAAACGTGAGCCTAGTCCCAAGACACCACTACATGCCCTTTTCCCAAAAACCTTACACCTTTCAGCTCAGGTCTGGATTGCTTGATGACTATATGGCCAGCAATGTCGACCAACGGCTGCTGCTTGCATGCACGAGGAAGATGGTTCGACGATGTTCGAGGATTACTGCCCATCCTAAACCCTTGAAAACGAACCTAAACCCTAGATCCCTAGGCCGTGAAACGTTAAATGCCCCACGCTTGCTGAATGAGCCCCCGGCCGTGACCTTAAACATGCGGCGCCTGCTCCGCTCAGGTGATTTTCGGGCAGGCGTGTGAGCCAGCCCCTACCCAAGACTGTTTGCAGGATCATGCGAGGACGGTAGGTACAAGGTAGAGACGGTAGAGACAACATCGTGCACCGAGACTAGGGTTTAGGGTTTAGGGTCTATGAATCATAGAATCTCACCATATCTCCGGGTCAGGGTCTCGAAACTGTGGGACATCTGCATGCGATGTGCCCTCTGACTTTCGCCACCCTGCGGAGGAAACATTCGTACATGCAAGAGCCGGTAGTTTCGAAGGGGATCCCGAGGCTGAGATGAATATGATGCTTGTTGACAATTGAGGCTAGTGCTGATGCTTTGTTTGCAGTATGCCGGGGCCAGCTTTGCCGACATTGCCTGTCACAGCATCTGCAGCTGCTTTCAGACAAGTTCCCCAGTTCTGTCCATCGTTTACAAGGCACACTGTGCCTTCAGCATGACATGCGCATTCTTGCGTCTACCACTACGGCAGAATGTTTGTCCCCATACTGTACTCTCTGGTTTCAGTATTGCCAACCTGGCCACTGTAAATAGCAACAGCCGTGTCAAATAGCTGCTGTGCAGAATGGTCCTCGCAGGCTATAGTATATGCAATGGCTTCTATGAGCCCGCAAACATTAGGACGACCATGTATTCCTGGGAAAAGGTTGGCTGAACTGGTAGTGGGCCGTCGTGGCAGCGGTATGTTCCAAGTTGCCAGGTTACCGCTACTATTACAGACTAAGACCAGCTACTAACAAGGGCCGCTGGAAGTATTGGTAGTCACTGGTAGTCGTTGTCGTCGACGCCTTCGCTCGCAGAGCCATCCTTCGTCGCACTCGAGCTTGTGTGCTCGTGTGATGCCGAAGAAGAGGAAGGCTGGGGGTCGCGGATTCGTAGACTCAATGGTAAGATAAGCATCAAGCACAAGAAAGTTGCAATTGTATGTAGCAAGGAGAGCTATGCCAACAACAATGAAGAAGATAGTTGCAGCAAGGACAGCCCAAGAGGAGGCTAGTGGCAGTTCCGGTTTTTATTGAATTCCATGCCAGCAGCAGCATTCAGAGAAGTAGCAGTAGCAGATGGTAGCCGTACTGCAATAGAGAGCATCACGGCACTCACCATTATCATCTTAATATAATCATCATCAGAATGAGCATCAACCTTGTCACCATCACAACCATCATCATCATCATCATCATCATCATCATCATCACCGTCATCATCGTCATCACCATCATCGCCGTCAGCAGCCTGAACAGCATGAGCGTTACTTTCATCACCCCCCAGGCCCCAAGAGTCTCTTGCCTTCCTATGGAGGCAGCTTCGCAGGCAGTTCCAGAGGAGGACGCTTCTCTCAGGATCTGAGCAGTGCTGAGAACTTGTCTTCGTTTTCTGCACTATGAAAGCTCTTACGCGGACAACGCTGCTAGTGGTAATCACAGTAGAAGTGATGTTCAGAAGATATTTGCCTTGCTGGCGTTATTAACTTTGTTCGACTAAGCAGCTGCGGGATCGTCGCGCTTTGACGACTCCCTGTGCGGCAAAATTTCCCAAAGCCGGGTAGAGGACCAGCCCGCTTTCTCTGATTTTCAGTTGGCTGAAGGCATGATTCGCAGTCCGACACCAAGCCCAAGCTGATGAGTTCTAGAGCTACTTGTAGTCCTCTCAGCCTGGAGTTCTGCGCTTGCCGCGGGCCAACCTCTTCCTGGGCGTGGTGTTTGAATAAGAGATCACATAGGGCCAGCCTTTTCTGCAAGACATCAATTCCCGCAGTGATTGTTGCAGGAGGAAGAAGACGATTGTGGGCTACTGAGCTTGTGAATCTGTCCGCGGGCGAAGCCCCCACCATCCTGGCAACCGAGGCCAAGAGGAAGCAGAAGACGAGGAACTGAGAGCAGAAGCTGAGCAAGAACACACTTTTCCGAGAAAGCCAGCAGCAACAATTCCGAGCCACAGAAGATCCCTTGCACCATGACATGTGCAAACAAGGTGGTCTTCTTCTTGTTGTGATCGGTTGGGTGAGCTCTGTCACCGCGTCTTTGATTCAGCAGGATGAGGAGGAGATCGTAGATGCCGAGGCTGAGGTGGGCACATGGGTCACAACAAGCATTTGGTACCTTCCTTGATGTTTCGATTTTGGAGAGATTTGTCATGGTGGTTTTTTGATGTGTCAGGGCTTCTCCCGTGCCCCTGCTGCAAAGTACGCAGAGTCTGGCTTTGGCTTTTGCTTGGAGCACCAGACCTTGGCAGGAGAACGAGGACGAGGAGGAAGATGAAGGCCCGAAGATGGTCTGGAGGTGGGGGCCGCCAGGTGTTGTCTTTGTCCTTATTTTGGGGTCCTTAAAAGAAGGATCCTATTATTGCAGGTACTATGTTAGGGTGCCCTATTTCCGGAAACCCCATTGATGCTCTTGGTTTGTTCGGCTTTCCGAAGGGGAAGGGGTTTGGACTGCACGTGTTTGTCCCAACCCCTCCGTCGCTGGCAGCCCCGAGGAGGAGTTTTGCAGGGAACCCCAATCCGCAAGCCCTCAGTGAGTTCTGAGCTTTTGTGAAACCTTGAACCCAGAGAACCCAATACCACTTAATTAAGAAATATACCTTAAATCATAATACTAAGGCCCATATAATTTTAGGTATATTCCCTGATTCAGGGTATGGGGTTGAAGTCGTATCGGACCTGTGGACCTACGCTGCTTCCTATGGCTTATCGGACATGCCTCGCTTGGGTGCCCGAGTCTCTCCGCAGACCCCCCGCACCCTACTTGGAGGATCATGGGACTTAGTAACTAGGCTTATAAATAAGGTAACTATAATTATAACCCCCAATTAGGGTTCTGATTACCTTACTTACTAAGTCAAATAAGGTAACTATGATTATAACCCCAATTAGGGTACTTATAACCTTACTTACTAGGTCCCATGATCCTCCAAGTATCCTACCCCCAGGTCCTCTGCGCATAAACGCAGGCGCTCGCCCTGCAACCTCAGCCCAAAACCCCCTTCATCCTACACCGGGGTTTAGGGTTTAGGGTTTAGACCTACACCCCAAGCCCATGATTCTGCAGGCCGGGCGTCGATACAATTGAGGAGGGGGAGCAGCTTGATGTGGAGCGATGGGCTTAATGACCGGTGTGTATACGGCCTGATGGAGGGTTGAGGGTTTGGGTCTTTCGACCTGAGGGTGATTGCCGTCAACCATGAGCTGTCTCCTACTCATCCTGAGCTCGACTCACATCGCCCACCTGATTCCCATTCTCATTGAAGCTTCTTCTTGCAGGTAAATCATTGCAGAGCCTGGCTCAGGGTCCTTCACAAAGGGAGCTTTATCGGATTCGGTGCCGACTAATTACAAGGAGTGGAAGATAGTGGAAGTATTACTGTTACGATAGGCATACCAAGTGGCCCCAATGAAAGTGGAGCGAAGGCGCATGGAATAGGCTGCGCTGGTGGTGTCACTCTTGGCAATCTGCTTGGAATTTGTCGGGCACAGCGGGCCATGCCTGATCCTGGACGGCCCATGCTGGTGAAGGCATTGAGAAGGCGCATGTGGGTGTGGGGTTCGACGGATTTGTTCGCTTTTTGGCAACGCCTGCAGGCTGAAAAGCTGCTGGCAGCGTAAGCACCCTCCCAAGGGTCATGGAGAGCAGCAAAGCAACACCTGCGAGCGATGCAAACAGCCGATCTAGGAGGTAGCTCCGCAGGCTTCGGGTGCAGCAATAATCTGGCTTTTTTGTCGGCTCGCCCGAGCTGGCATCCAGCCGCCGCACAGGGCGACCGGTCAAGACGGCTGCAATTCTCCGAAGTAATGTATCTAATTATGATGTAGCGCTAAGCGCCTCCTTGATATTTAACTAAATGCACAAGACGCTTTCGGCAGCGGGAAGTGTCCAGCAGGAAATGTCGTGGCGGTATGTTTCTGATGATGATTACATGGACCTCGCGTAGTTGCCCGGCACCGCTCGGCTTGAGACGGTCGACGGAACGGACCTTCTGCTGCTGTTCAAGTGCGAGCTGGAAACTGGCACTCAATGATAATCATAGTGGTGCCGCATTGGTGCCGCTAGTTAAACAAGCCGCCCCATATTATCACTATGACAATGGTTTTCTCACGTTGAGAGTCACCATCCCTTTTTCAACTACCCCAAGGCTACATTGAAACTCGAATGCTGTCACATGCTGACTGTTGGATCGCCAGCCTCTAAACGGAGACAGCGGGAGTGTCACCATGAAGCCCTGCTTGGAGGATCATGGGACTTAGTAAGTAAGGTTATAAGTACCCTAATTGGGGTTATAATTATAGTTACCTTATTTATAACCCTAGTTACTAAGTCCCATGATCCTCCAAGTGCTTGCAATGGACTCACTACTGACGACCGTTGTCGCTGAGACTTACTGGAACGGTTCGGGGCTTTCCGACGAGACTCATCGTGGGCATTCAAGCATAAGGTGAACCGTTGCTGATGACTGAGTGCATGGTGTCAGGTCGTTCTGAAAAAGCCGAAGAAACCATTGTGTGGCTTCAGAATGCATGGCGATGTGCTGCAACATCATACCATATCTGTGATGCTAGTTACGCTCAAAAACGGGTTTCGACATAACAAACTTACTGGGATCGGACCGTGATGTAGCTGTGAAGTTCACTGTTTCCTCCAGAAAACCCTGATGACCTTACTCTGAAGTCTAGACAGGGCTGCATGCCTTAGATTCCTTCCACCAGACACAAGGCCCGGCACTTACGATATGCTCCACCGCGCGCAAGTCGAGTGCTGGCACCCAGAGTGTTTGCATTGTAAGTTGAAGGTCAGAAGACATCAGAAGATAGGGTTGTTGGCTACTTTACCCTGACGAGTATCGCGGTCATGGTTCCGTTGGTTGTGGCACTTCCCCGGTATCAGGCATCTTGCCACAATACGGTCCCCATACAAACTCTTGTGCTCATGGTTCCCTTTTCGGCTCCTTCCTCCGGATTCTTGCAGTCTTTGCGACTCTTGCCTGCGCTGGGTGGTGACGGCAAGAGCAGCAGATATGTGCACAGATTAGCCCGGAACTCGAGCGCGTAGGATGTCAGGCAACTCTGTTTCCAGCCTCCGAAGGCGCTGTTTGGCTGTAAGGAGCGAAGTGCCGTGAACCAGCACTGAGTCGAAAGTAGGCCCGAGTCTCCCCAGCCATCCAAGCTCCCGACAGCCCTACACCCCAAGATACTTAAACCCTATACCCTAAACCCTAAAAGCGACTCCAACTCGCGGAGTTCAGCCCCGCGCAGGTGGCCTTGTCTTTCCTTGGATGTTGTTCGGGATGACCTCGGAGCCCAGCGCCGTAGCCCCAGCAGCCTTGTACAGCTCAGGGCTCGCGACGTGGGGAGGTTCCTTGGGTAAGAGTCATAGTCTGCGGCTCATGCTTACATCTGCTCCTGCATGGGCCACATCGATTTGAGCAAGAAGTTGCTAGGCACTTCTTTCCCCATGACTGCGTACGTCGTGGCCGGGTCGCAGGCATCGAAAACAGAGGACCGGCCGCCAGTGCGTTTCATGCTAGGCGGTCCGTGCAGGGGGACATGTGGGCACAAGGAGCCGTGAGACGGTCGTAGGAACCTGGGCTTGAGGACAACCGGCTCTACATGATGAAATGGTCTGTTTCTCAGATATACTGAGGTCAGCAAAGGCTTGTTTCGCTTTTTGCAAGACCATCCGCAGTTGTACCAGCCTTGCACAGTGGCTGCCCGCAGCGACAGGCACAAGCTGTACAAAACTTCGAAGGACGGCAAGGAGGCCATGTTGTGCTGGGATCAACTCGTTGGGACGTATCGTGTGTTCTTCCTCCCCAGGATGATGACGACGAGAGTGAGGAAGAGGAGGACAAAGAAAGCTAGAGCGCATGAAGACATCACGATTCTTCTCAGAAAACCGATGTACATAGCTACGCTGCACCCTTTGTTGCCTCTCTTTTCAACTTTCTCGTGCTACGATGCAAGCTCGGACTATCCGCGCTAACCTAGCGGCATTGGACCATTCCGAGTTGCCACGTGGACAGCCTGGTTCTGTTGCCAGAAGACCGGAGAACGTGGAAGTGCCACATGTCGGAGCTTCAGGTGTACATGCACGCATGAAAATCACATGATATATGTGCATATGTGTGTATGTAAATGCACATGTGTACGTGCGAGGGATGGCTACAGCCAGGACAGTGACGATGAACACGAGGCGGCACTGGAGTTTGGAGCTCGGCGGCGGCTTCACCGAGTTTTCAGACCGAGGATCAGTTACGCGAACACATGACGTGTGCGAGAATGGTGTCGGAAGATGTCATGACCGGAAGGTCAAAGACAACTCCACATCCTGGCGGCGTTAATCGGGCTTGGTACTGAGATGCCGCAAGACCGGATGTAGCAGGCGCATTGCTGACCCGTCCAGCAGTAGAGTTTCTGTGGCAGTTACTGATTCAGACCGTTTGTCGACCAGCGTGGACATATGTGGTGATGTTTGGTAACAAAGATATTGGCCGCAAGCAGTGCGACGTATATTCTTCCAAGTTTGCTTACCAGGCGCTAGCTTGTAAGCCCAATCATTATCGAGGACTCCAGTACGCATCTAAAACTCTGCAGACCAAGCCCCGGAACTCTGGAATCAGAGTTCTTCCAGGTGCGCTCCATGCCGCAAGCCGGTCACATCGTGGCAACGTGGGCCGCGACTTGTCCGCACGTGATTTCAACTTGGTTAAAGTATTCATATCAATATAAAATACTGTTTATATGTATATTACCGTTCACCAAGTCCATTGTTTCAAACGCGCATATGACCGTTAATATTCATATCCACACCGATGCAAACATCCATATTCGTATTATTTCGTATCCATATTAAAGACATGCATGAAGCTCTAGTTGCTGCTGCTGCTGCTGCTGCTGCTGTTGCTTCCGTAACGACGATAGCAACACGAAGACGCCAAGGATACTGGCAAGGTGCACATGCAGGGTCCCCAGCATCTGAAAATAGGCGGCGGCGCTGTGTGCAGCTTCCCAGATGACTGACATGTTGTTGGCTGAGGTGGAACCTAGAAGCTCATCGAAAAGCGCTTGACAAGAGTGGGGACAGGGTGGCCCTTCTCACGATATCTTGTGATGGCACGAATTCGTTTCGTACTCTCCCAGCAAGGCGCCTCCGCAGGCCAAGCCCATCTTTACGAGTGAGGCCCACAAAGATGAGGCGGGCAGCAGAGAGAAACCTGTCGTCGAGAGATCTCAGACGGTTACTGCTGGCCAGGGTTTCGCCATGGATTTCAGCCCGCACGACACCGGGTTGTTCCTTTCTGGAGGCTGGCCACTTAGACTTCGACTGGTGCCCAGAGGCAAGCTCGCGCAGGCAACGATGCGCTGATCATGCTTGCGGAGCCTGTGCCAGGAGGCCCCAAAAGTCGAAGCACAGGCTTTCTGCCGGGATATCAGTCAGAAGCAGATTTCGCGAGGATGGAAGGTGGACTCGGAGCCATTCAAGATGCACAAATCCTCGGTCGAGGACGTCCAGCGCCTTGGCATAACCGATGGGCTTCGGGTTTGCCATATGCAAACACAGGATTTCTTCAAGCTAGAACAGCTGCCTGAGTACAAGCCATGGCTCCATGCATAAGTTGGGGCATCTCCCAAGCTCTAGGTGCGACATCATCTGCGTGTCTTGTGGACCGCTGCGTTTTGGCTCATGTCCTGTGGTTTGTGGCTTTGCAGGGGTTGGTGGAGCCTTACCAGGACATGTCCCTCCCCTCTAGTCGCTTCTCGCTCGACACCTTGGCACTCAAGTCTCGGGTGGGCATTCCAAGTTGGAAAGCAGCCTGTCTAAACAAGCATGAACCGACGACTGATAGAAGCGCGGCTTTCATTTTCAGCGCTGGGCTTGATTGCTTATGCAGCTGAACCTTAACCCCAGGGGCACCGTCTTTGGTCGGGGATTTGAAGACGAGCTCAGCCCTCGGCCGTCCCTTAAGCCATGGACTCACCCAACGCCATCCGGCTCTCCGTGGACATCCTCCAGGATGCCTTCGGTGACGTGGTGGCCAAAGTCGGGGAAGTGCTGTTGGAAAGGGGTCAGCTGACCATCCGAGAGATTATGGCTTGCGGGAAGGGGGTTGAGGATGACGATCTGACTTTTCCGCAGATCCGCAATGCTTTGCTGGTTCTGACGCAGCACGGCCTTGTTAACTTTCATCCATTCCGACAGTCGCAGGACGGTAAAGCCCACGTTCAGGTGTATGCCATGGACATCGAGGAAGTTCTTGCCCGCATCCGCTTTCCACAGTACTTGGAGTACGTCGGGTGCAGGTATGGTCCGCTCGGGCAGGAGCTCCTGGAAGTGGTCTTCAAGTTCGGCCGAGTGGCCCGACATGTCCTCCTCAAGGAGGCCAAGGAGGCGCCCCGGTCCGTGCCGCTGTCTCCAGAGGAGATCCAGGAGTCCTTGCGGCTTTTGGTCACCGAGCGGATCCTGCGACCCGTGGAGGGCAAAGATCGCAGCTCCTCCCGCCCGGAAGGAGCCTCGGCCTCGGGTTCTGGTGGGGGGGCATCCGGCCTCGGCCTGGCGAGCCGCCCTCAGACTCGGCCTGAAAAGCGAAAGAGGCCACGACTCGAGGACGTTCTTTCGGCCGGCGCCGCGGAGCTGAGCCGAGATGCGGAGCCCAAAGCGGAAGTCGCCGAGGAAGCGAACGATATGAAAGATGCGGTGTACCGCTACGACCGGGTGAACCTCGACCTGTGCCTTCGGAAATCTGCTCTCTGCCGGCTGGTGGAAGAACAGACGAGTGAGCAGGCGGCAGTGGCGATGCATGCAATGCTGCACTGGGTGGTGCCGAACCAAAATGGCGAAGGTGTCACGTCAAGCTATGCCAACCTGGATCAGGTCTATCAGAAAAGTTCAGGCCTTCTCAAAGCGGAGGGTCGCGATCCCTCGCGGGTGAAGGAGAAGCTGCGCGGCAGCCTTGACTTACTTGCCAAGCACAAAGACCAGGTCTTGCGCAAGCGGGTTGCCGCTATCAAGGAGTCCGACATGAGCGAGTGGATTGTCGACTGGGATCGTGCATGTGAGTGTCTGCGCAGCATGGCCCTCTCACAGTTCATCCGGGATCGCTTTGGAAAGATCGGCTTGCGGATCTTCAACCTGCTTCTGGAGGAGAGTCCTCCGCAAAGGCTGGAAGAGGCCTACATCTTCAAAGTATGCATGATTCCAATGTTGGATGGTCGGGAGCTGCTCCAAAGCATGGCGAAGAACTCTGTCTTGTCCTGGCAGCAAGTGGGAATTTCCGAAAATCAGGGGTTCCTTATTTTGGGGCCCTTATAATAAGGATCCTATTATTTAGGGTGCTATATTAGGGTCCCCTATTCTCGGAAACCCCCAGGTGGCTCGGAGCAGTGATGGTGCTGTTGCAAACTCCGTTTGGCTCTACTACGTGGACATACGCCGCATGGTTCCGTCCATGTTGGATCTGGCCTACAACGCCATGCTGAACCTGAGGATAAGGTTTAGGGCCGAAAGTGCCCGAGTGGCGCCAATGGAGAGCCGGGCCCTCTCCCTAGGCTCGCGTGCCAGGCAAAGTCTGCGACAGGGCCGACGTGTCGAGGACCTCCTGGAGCGCTCCTTCTTGCTGCTGGATGCCTTGCCGCTGCTTTGCCGATGAGCGCCTGCCGGCTTGAGACCTCTGGAGTTGTCCAGGAGCCGAAATGCCGAGCCCTCTGCCTTCATCTTTAACTTTAGAACATTCCGACCCCTGTAGTCTACTATAGTCCCTACAAAACCCTGCGCCCTGCAAGTAAAGCCCAGAATCGTACATCGCCCAGAGGTGGAAGAAGCTTGGTGCCGGAGCCAAGCCCGAACCTCGGATTTGGGACCTAAGCCCTGCTTGAGTTTATTCGGCACCTTCAACGTTTGCGCACGCATAAGTTCAGGGTTTAGGGTTAAGGGTTAAAGGTTATTTAGGGTTTAGTCATAAAGCCCGGTTTCCAAAAAAGGGGTTTAGGGCTCAGATTCGGTAGTGCCTGGGTCTACTCAAGACATGATTACAGGTTTCGGGGACACAGAGCCAGACCGGAACTTCTTGTTGTTCCCAAGAGTGGGATGGTATGAGCGTGGGGGCTGTTTGGACTTTGTGGGCTTTGAGGGGGCCTTTCGGTTGCGTCGACAGGTCTGTGTCCAAAGCTCGAGTCGTGATGTTTCTAAGGTCTAGCTTTGCTTCTTGCAGCTCCGATGGCAGCTGGAAGGTGTGGGATGTCCGGGAAAAGGCGGGCAGCAGCAGTCAGGGTTGTGATCGAAAGTGGGTTGCAGACGTTTGCAGTTTGGTTTGGAGTCTTAAGCGTAATTTACCAGCCAGGTTCTGCCGGATCGAGATTTCGTGGCCCTTTGAATATTTCAGAACGCAGGGCTTCTTTCTCACCGGGGTGTTTACAGGCTTCTCCCCAGCAGGGCTATCCTCGCAAGCTGGATGTTGAGCCGGGTCCAGCTGGAACAGAGAGATGCCAGGGCAGAAAGAAAGCAGCAATCAATGTGCCTGGGGCTTGGATCCGTGGAGTCTGGGAGTCTTCACACAGCCGGTCGATTCTGACCGTCAAGTTTGGGCAAGCCGAGGCCTAATGCTCACGCCGGTTCCGATGTGAATGTTCTCAGCCGAGCCCTGAGCCCTCAAACTCAAACGCCCACGGCGAAGCACAGATCCGGTGGTTTCTGGGGAGCCCCGAGGCTGGAGCCCCATCGTCGGTGAGTTGATCGTAACCGGTGCCCCAAGCACTGCCAGTGCGATTTGCCATTGCGATTGCTTGACGTTGAAGCCCTTGCCGGCCATGCTTGGACGCAGCTGTTTGGGCATGAAGCCCTGAGCCATTGCAGCGAGGCGATAGCAACAAGGGCAGCAGCAGGAGCAAGCAGAAGGAAATGGGGCAGCAGATAGATTCTTTTTAAACAGCTGATCAGCAGAAGTGCCCTCTTCCCGGCGCTCTGCCCAGGCAGGAGCCCTGCCATCATGCGATTTCCGAGTAGGTTTCCATTCTGTCACATCATACCATATGAAACATAATCACATGTGTGGATATCTCTGCAAATGCTGAGTTGTTGCGGATTCTCATGTACAAGAGGCAAGAAGACGCGTCGTACATGACAATGTCATGTGACACGAAGGGGTTTGCTAACTCTTTTTGAGAAGACAGTATCGTATGCCTGTTTCCTGATTTTCCAAACACTCGGTTTAGCTAAACCCTAAGCCCGAACCCCAAAGCCAAATTCTAGAGGACCCTAAGACCCGAACCCTGCACCCCTAAACCCGAAAGTTTATAATAAAACTTAATAGTAACAATAATAATAGTAATAGTAATAATAATATAATAAGGAGCCCCTATCTTTCTTCCTGTCTTCCTGAGCCATGGCTTCGCCTTCGGCCGGTGACTTGAGCCCCGGGAAGAGCTGGGATGATGAGAAAGAGAGGTGGAGCTTTTGCTTTGAGGGCTTTAGGGTTCTGGGCTTGGGGGTTTAGGGTTTAGGGTTTAGGGTTTAGGGTTTAGGGCTCTGGGCTTGGATTTTGGGTTTAGGGGTGTAGGGTAAACCCTAAACCCTAAACCCTAGAATAGTGGGGATGAGATGAAGGGTGGGAGGGTGGGTGGGGACCTGGAGCGGTCCCTTCAAGGGTACCTGGTACTTGTAGGGCCTCCGGCGGCTTTGTTAAGGCTATTTGGGTATTCTGAAGTAGGGTCCCTGTTCGGTTTCTTGCCAGGCTTGGAGGTTTACCCAGAGAGCCCAATACCCCTTAATTAAGGAATATACCTTAAATCATAATATTAAGGCCCTTATAATTTAAGGTAGATTGCTTAATTAAGGGGTCTTGGGCTCTCTGGGTACCCAAGCTTCAATCTGAAGTGAGGTCCTACTGTGCCTTGAAAGGCGAAGCCTGGGTTCGTTCAGAAACCGATCCCTTCATGTTGTCTTTCTATGTCACTTTGCTTGCGATGACTGTGGCAAGAGCATCTTGAGGACTTTGATCTCTCTCAGGGCTCTGTTAAGATAGATCGTGTATGCACTGAGACGGAAACATAGATCGGAGTAACCCTGCCCTTGGTAAATCTGAAAGACCTCGCAAGACAGACGTCTGCTAGAAGAATCCCCGCAACTCAAGATGCACGTGGTTTGCTCGTTTCTGGTGCTTGGGTTTTGCATGTTGTGATGTTCGGCGAGATGGCTACGGTTTAAGGCTTATCTGCTGGGCCGCGGTGCTTCACGAATCCTGAAGTAGCAACAGAGCATGTCCTAAGGCACAGTTCATGAGAGTGTTACGTGGCTTCGAGAGGGGGGTGAGCTTGCCTTGATAGGCTTCACCTGTCGATGGCGCAGCTGCAGAACGAACTTCTGCGAGTGGAAGATGCCTGCAGAGCTTTGCAGGACCCTGCTGCGATGTGTTTTGGGATGCTAGATCGGGAAGCTAGACTCAGCTACACGCAGTGGTACACAACCATCCAATGGAATTTTCCGGAAGGAAGCATGCAGTTTGGGATTGAGTCTTATATCGCTTGGAGTTGTCATGTGGTTGCGGCTGATTTAGGGTCAGGTTTTTTAAGGTGCAGATGTCATTGGGTACTGAACTCTGAGAGCGAGGGTTTAGGGCTCAGATCTAGTTGGCAAACGTCGAGGATGGCGCAGGGTCCCGTATTGATTGCTGGCTTTGTGCGGGCTCTATAATGTTTGGGCGCATGGGCTGCATGGGCTGCGCGGGGCTTGCAAAAGCGGGCTTAGGCTTAGGGCTCAGGGTCAGGTCCTATTGGGTCCGAGTGCAGGGCGTGGGGGTGTGTGGGGGGGGATTAGAAGGGATGCTTACGCGAAGGGATCTCGCGTTCGATGGCAGGCTTAATCTGCGCGTCTTTGATAGAGGGTGGCTGTGCGGCTGCATCGGCGCCATGACTCGATAGCCCTTGAAAAGCTTCCAAAATTACTTTCTTTACGCACATCATCTCTTCAGCACAATTATCGGTGCAATTCGACTAAAAATGAGTCGCGTTGACTTACCACTAGAACTAGTGACGTACAGTGCCGGCGCACGGGCTCAACATGTTTTAGATTTACGTGTAGTATGTATAATCTCTCTCTATGTATATATATATATATGTATACGTATATATATATATATATATATATATATATATTCATATAACTTACAAGTATAAATATAAACATGTATGTACATATACATTTGTATATATACATGCATGTATACATATACATACATATATATATATGTATACATATTATCTTGATAATATACCTTTACAGATGCATATATACACACGCTTACACACATGCATACATATAGACCTACATACATGCATGCATACCTGCATGTGCATATGATGCAGTGAGCCGCTGTAATATAAACCCAAATAAAAAAACCCTAAACCCTCGCCTGGATCGTCCGAGCGCGAGCGCCAAAACCCTGAACCCTGAGTACGAAAAAGCTCAGGCCCAGAGCTTAAAGAATGCTACGCGGTTGTATATAGTTGAGCTTTTTGCAGTGTAGCATAGTATAGCATAGTGTGGCGCTGCAGTAGAGTAGAGTAGAGTAGAGTAGATTATGCTAGACAGTAGATTGTGCTAGACCTTAGTGTTGTACAGTATAGTATAGTGTCGTATATGTATATATAATCTGTAGTAGAGTTTTAGTTTTTGTAGAATGCAGTTTATAGTGTGGTATAGTATAGTTCACAGTATTGTACAGTTTTTTGGTAAAGTACAGTTTAAGTGCAGTAGAGGGTCCAATGCTCTCAGGCGGAGGAGGCCGCGCAATGGCAGCTCCCTATGAGGGGCGAGTCCATGCCATCAGTTCCTCAACTGCCTGATGGAGTTTAGGGTTTAGGGTTTAGGGTGTAGGAAACAGGGACTGCTGCCACGAGTGCAGCCTGGAACGAGTCAGCTGTCCTGGCGTGACGTTGCAAGCCAGTTGCAAAAAAAGGGTGTAGGGTTTAGGAGTTATTGAGATAGCATTGAGCCATCCGCTTTCTCCGTGGGCTCGTTCGAGTTGTGGTGACTTGCGGCTTCACCGACCAATAGGCTGCGCCATCAACTCCCTAAGGCGTTTGAGCCTTGCTTTCGATTCAGTTGCCCTGGAATTTGATGAGTCTTGCGCCAGGCAGAAGTCCGGTCCGGCAGATATTAATCTCACATCCCACGCAGACAATCCTGAAGCTCGTGAGGCCGGCCGCAACGTGAAGTGATCAATCCATAGGGTGCACTTGGCACCCTCAGATCTTTCTATGACCTCGGCACAAATTTTAAGCGTACCTGGCAGCAGTAGTGAGGCATGCAGCTGCGACCGCAGCGGTAGCAGTCCTGTTGGCATCAGCGTTTGCAGTAATGTCAGCAGAGGCAGTTGCGCTGGCAGCCTCAACCGCCAGTCGTGGTGGTAGCAGTAGTAGTGGTCGTGGTGGTGGTGGTGGTGATGGTGATGGTACTTCCAGCAAGCAGCAGAAGGAGCAAGATGAGTAACGGCTGTAGAATAGCAGTAGTGGCAGCGGAAGCAGCAGCAGGAGTAGCAGAGTAACAGCAGCTCGAGCCGCAGGAGTAGCTAATCATAGTAGTAACAAAGCTTGTCACACAGATCTGCTTTGACCCCACGAAACTCAAATCATCATCCAGAAAAAGCCCTGGAGTTACATGGCCCGGACGCATATTCTCACAGCAGCGAAACACCGAGGATTCAAGTCACCGAGCCCGTGGCGCCAGCCATTCCCCAAAGCCGAGGCGAGGGCTTTGTGGCTACTTCTTACTGGTTGCCCGGTTTCGGGTTTAGGGTTTAGGGTTTAGGAAGTTTGAACCCAGACTCTGCCAATCAGCTGGCTGATTGGCAGAGTCTGGGTTCAAAAAGGGTTTAGGAAGTTGCGAATCCGAACGAGTGACATCTTGTTGCTAAGCTGGTGATGGGCGGAAGCGGTGGTGTGGCTGGCGACTGTGACTTAGACGGGCATGGTGATGGTGGGTGATGGTGGGTAACCGTGTTGGTGCTGCTGGTCATGACAATGATGCTGGTGATGATGGTGATGGTGGCCACGTTGATGACATCAGTGATGTTGAGGACGATGAGAACGATCATGTAGTGTTTGAGTTTGTGTCTGCATCTGTTTCGCGGCAGTTGCGTAAACAGATACTGCAATAAGTCTGTTCTTGAACACATGCATAGACATGAATGAATGTGTAAATATCCATTTCTGTATCTATGACCAGTGATCCTGCATTGCAGTTGCTTGGCAAGTCATCGGAATGCATTGCTGGAAGTCAACGGCACGAGGCAAAGAACGAAGCCTTTGATCCGCGGCTCTACTCGACCGACAAGAAAACCCAAAGCAATGGGATTCTTTCGTTGAGGGTTCCTTGAAAGGCATTAAACGGCCGTCATACCACAAGGAAGACATCGGAATCTGTTCCCTCCTGCCTTCCGCCCTCTCTAAACCCTAAACCCGGAGACCTAAACCCTAAACCTTGAGGCAAAACAACCCTAAACCTGGGGCCCTAAAGCTCTAAACCTTGGGCCCTAAGAAAGCAACCCCGAGAGCCCGAAGCTATCTTCGACCCCCCCCCCCCCCCCCCCC